ACAATATAGCAAACATGAGGGAATGCATCCCCATGATTCAGCTTGAAAAGACTGCGACTTTCTTCTGGCTTGCTGAGTCTCTTCCATTAGCTTTGATGAAGTAGGCTGCCATGTTGTAGAGGGCACTATAGCAAAGAACTGAAGGTAGCCTCTAGCTGATAAGGAGGAACTTGACTTTCAGGAAGCTAAATGTTCTAATAACTGTAAATGAGGGTGGAAGCAAATCTCCATCACTATATGAGTCTTTAGATGAGATCTCAACCCTGTGTATCATGTTGGTTGCAATCTCATGAGAAAGCCTAAATCAAAAGACCCAGAGAAGTTATACATTGGTTTCTGATGCTTAGAGACAATGGAGTAATAAATATGTGCTAGGTTTGGGGCAGTTTGTTACTAATAGAAAAGAATATAGTTAGCAATAGAAAACTAATACAGGTGGAGTCTCATGTGGTGATGGAATGTTGATCCAGTGACTGAACACAAGCAGAGTATAACATCACAAAATATCACTGTAGAGTCCCAGCCATGTGTCCTCTGTCTGTGGGCTATTTGATGTGAAATCCTATGGGGCATAAGTCAGGAGAGAGCTGAGATCAATTTTTGATTCTAGATGTGGTCTTTAGTACATCATGTTTAGTGGCAGACACCAGGGTGAGGCGTATCCAGATTTCACCCAAAATATGAAGGAATGAGTTTGGAGCTCTAGCAATCCCAGAAAACACAGAAAAAAATGTAGAACTCAGAATTCCAGAGGTTCTCTTGGGGAATGTCCTTTAGAACAGCTTTGAGAGTTACACACTAATTTCAGCTACTGATTTGATTTGTATCTCATGTCACTCAGAACCCATGGATTTACTTGGTAAACATCTGGCCTTAAGCTTCCTCAGGGAAAAGTTCATGTTTCCTTTGTGTCCCCAAATGTGTGGTGAATAGGTTTAGTCTCTATTTGTCACTTTTATTAATAAATTAGTGGTGAATATGTGGATGTCAAATGACCACATGTATGCCTTCCAAAGTGTCCTAGCCTGTTTTGTACTTCTGTGACATGAACACTAGAGACTGGATAATTTACAATGAACAGAAAGGTATTGTCTCACAGTATGAACTGGGAGGTCCAGGACTGAGGGTCTCCATCTGGCAAGGACCAGCTTGCAGTATCATCCTCTGGGACACAAGCAAAGAAAAGATGAGGAAAGGGCAAGAGGACACCAGAATGAACCTTATACAAAGAACTTGCTCCCTTAGTAACGAATCTACTCCAAAAAACAGTGACGTTAACCCATTTATGGGAGCATATTGTAACCTAATCACATTTAATTAGCCCTTACCTCCCAACACTGTTGCATTAAGGATTAAGTTTCCAGCACATGATGTTTTGGAAGCACATCAAACTGTAGCAAAAGGCCAGCTCTAAACTTTCTAGAAGTTAAATATAAACCAGACTCGACTTCTTCCTCTTTAATAACACTAGAAATCTTTGCTGCATTGTGGTTGCTAAGTTGATATGTGGCCAAGTGGGGGATAAGAACTTGCAATTCTATGGGATCCAGTTAGAGAAGAGCAGGAATTTTAACTAATCCCAGAATGGTTGATGCAAGTGACATGCTAAACAGATTATTATAATTGACCATGCCTAGATATACACATTTTTATAGACGCAAAATACTCTTCTGTTGACTTAAAAGCTTTGAGTAATAATTATCTGAGATGTTAGAATTTACTTGAACTGTTGATAAAAATAATCTATAATTACACACCATGCATTTATCTGACTCTAGTCCTCAATGATCTCAAGTATTCAAGATAAATTATCTGTGGGCTACATTTATTTCATAACAGAAGCCTTTTCAAAGCTCAGTATTATCCTATTTCTTTCTTTATGATAAAGGTTCCTCCCCAGTTTTGTTTTACTTGAACCATCAATAATGTGTCTGGTGGTCTAGGAGTATGAGGAAGAAGGTACAGAGTGCTTATGTACTGTTTGTGAAGACCTAGGTTTGATCTTTAGCACTGAAAAAAAAAGTTTGTTTTGGTTGTAGCGAAAGCAGAGGTAATGGAGCAGAATTGAAGGGGCAGGACAGCTCTCCATGATATCCTAGCCCAGCTCCACTATTTCTCTTCTGTATGTGCTATGAGTGGACTTCAGGGCTCTACTGTAGCCACAACTCAGCTCTGATCAGAAAAAAATCAAAGACTATATGATTCATTTTTATTTATTTTTTATCTTTTGATATGATTTAGTTTTTATTTTTTGAGTTTGTGATTTTCATACAATATAATTTGATGGCATACAAATCCCCTCCTCATCTGCACCTCCCCTCACTTCTTCACATCTAATTTACACATTATATATATATATATATATATATATTAAGGCCTAATTTATGCTCCCAGTTGTCCTTCAGTGTGGGTTCATCCACTGGAGCCTGGTTAACCTATCAAGAATCACATCCTTGAAAGAGACTGACTCTCCCCCTCCCAGCAGCCATCAGTTGCCAATATTCCCTCAGGTTGGGTTGGGATTCTTACCTACTTCTCCATGTCTATGCTGGAATTTTGTCTGGTTGAGCTTGCATGGGACTTGGGCATATTGTCACCATGGCTGTGGGTTCATATGAGTAACTGACCATCTGTCCGAAAAACTCTGTTTCCTTGTGGTCACCCACCATCTCTGGCTCTTGCAGTCTTTCTGCCCCCTTTTCCACAATGATCCCTGAGCCTTGGGAGGCAGAAGTTTGATATAGGTGTCCTACTTAGGGATAAACACTCTGCAGTCTCTTTTTCTCTGTACTTTGGCCAGTTGTGGTTTTCTGTTTGAATCACCATCTGCTACATAAGAAAGCTTCTCTGATGAAAGTTTAGAGATGCATTAATCTACGAGTTTAACAATAAGTCATTAGGAGTCACTTTAATACTATATTTAGCTGAATAATAGTATTGGGCTCTCCCCAATGGCCTGTGACCTGCTTAGCATCAGGTTTGTAGACCTGATATCAATATCAGATATGGATTCCATCCTATGAAGCAGACCTTAAATCTAATTAGAAAGTGTTTGGTTACTATCACAATATTTGTGCCACTACTGCATCGGTGGGTATATCTTTCCAGACCAGTTGTAGTTGACAGGATTCACAGCTGGGTAAGGTTGATGATTACCTTTTTCTTCCATTAGCATGCATAATACCTTCCAGCTCTATGAAAGCTGGCCAGCAGAGATGAGGTTTTGAAGTCAGTACTAGCTTGATTTCTCCTTGTTTGTTCTACAGCTCATATATATTTTTTAAAGCAGAAAGGAGTCAATGCAAAAACACAGTTCTTGCCTCAAAGTGACTGATAGTTTATTCTAGAATGAAATATGAGTGATCCTGGCACAAGAACACAGGTCAGGTTTCCTTGAATACAGTGTTCTACCGTGGAACTGGTTATATGCGATTTAATTAGTTATGGAACAAAGAAAGCCATAAATCAAAGTGTTTATCAAATACATTGGTAGAGTTCTCAGGAAGGCAGTTTACAGGGAAAGCAGGGAAAACTTTGCTGCAAATTTTAGACAATATTGATGATGTTCTTAGATTTGGAACTGGTGAAATGCAGTGGTCTGCAAGAACACGCTATAAAGTTTTTTGATAGTCATAAGGATGTTAGGTCAGATTCAGGTGTGAGTAATGGATGGCTTTCAAAAGGACTAAAAGTAGCCCAGAATAATTTGACTCTGGCCTGTAACAATGTAACTTTCTACAACCTTAAAGTTTAGTCATTCAGCATTGTGGAAGTGGTAGTTTTGGTCAAGGTGTGGTCTTGTCCATAATTGTTTTAGCTCTAGTACTACAAGGTAGTCTGAAGAAATTTGTATTGTTTGAGGGGACAAGGTGTTTTTTTAGGAAAGGACTTCTGCTCCAGCGTACAGCTCTCCCTCATGGATAACTGTCCTCATATTGGGCTGGGGGAGGTCACTGAGAGGTTTTGATCTTCTTAGAATCCAAGGTGACTCTAGGTTTAGGACAATGATTCATCTCTGTGCCTTCAGCCTTGAAAGGGGGATTAGATACATTCGGTAGGCAGAGTCAAACAAAAATCAGACTCAAAGGAAACAGATACAAGAGGCTTTCAGTTACCTTGTGCACTAAATGAGGAGTCAGTGCTTATTTTTTTTTACCCAAAGCAGCTTCTAAGTGCTTATGTCAGTCTTATGCACTTATGCATAAGACTTATATACTTATGTTTGAACATGGCTCAGTCTGGAAGAAATTAGGATGCTGGTCAATCTGTCTTTGTGGGTTTCTGGCTCAATGATAAACTAGTTCATGAGAAAGGGACAGGCTTTAATGTCAGGAACACATAAATAAAAAGAGCCAGAAGTTTAAGCCGGGAAGTAGATACATCACCACAGGAAGGAGCATGAGCTAGAAGACGTGCAACTGGATAAACTGTATACAGTCATCTTTCCTTTTAGATAGCTCTGTGAACATGGACTACGTTTCTTATGAGATTTTATATGCCTTTCTTTGGATCAGCATAGGCATGCTCATGCCCATGCTTCTGAGTGATGGAGAGCACCCATTTATCATTATCCTAAGATTTTGAATCTACGTATCAGAACCTGAAAGGAAGAGTAACTTAATTTTTTTTAGGTCCAGGATCTAGAAAGGCAGGAGTACCACTCACAGATATATATTCAGGAATAACTTACATGTTTAAAAAATATTTTATTTATTTATTTATTTATTTATTTTTAATGTGTATGAATGTATTGCCTGCATGTATGTTAGTGCACCTGTGTTGTGCAATGTCTGCTGAAGTCAGAAGAGGGCATTGAATTCCCTGGAATTTGAGTTCCGGGTAGTTGTTAGCTATCATGTGGGTGCTGGGATTTGAAACCAGGTCCTCTGCAAGAACAGCCAATGCTTTTAACTACTGAACCATCTCTCCAGGTCCAGAACTTATGTTTTTAAGCAAAATAATCCCGGCATCTTTGTTGAATAAATTACATTCATACCATGCACTGTTATGATTTATTCGATTTATTTGATTTTGAGAATAACTTAACCAAATTCTAAGCTGCTGAGTTCAAGGTTGAAGAGATGACCTGGCCATCATGCCTGTTTGAAGTTACTAGAGTAAGTACATATATTACAGGGAAAGTTGGAGGACAATTCATCACACAACCATTAATCAGCAGGAGAGTATGAAAAAGGTTAATTGATGAGCTTTGTGGTTGTTGGAGGATAAATGTTATCCTACTAATGTTTTCCCTGGTTTCAAGCTTTATCTGTAAAACTAACCATAAGATCATTCATCATGGAGGTCAGTGAGGACTGAGATGTTCTCACCCTGTTTCTAAGATGAGGAGAATAGTGAGACTAAAGTTATAGACTCATAAATGGAGGGACACTGAAATGAATGATGCCTGACCATAGTTCTATCATACAGAAGCACAGCCCGAGAGATAGTTTTAGAAAGTGCACGAAACTCTACTTTGTATACTATGATACTGATTCCTGAAGGGTGAAAGGGGTATGTAGCCTGGAGGATAGGCCAGAGAAGAGCAAACTCTGTCTGGTTGCATCCCCTAGGAAGTGGGCAGGTGGTATAGTTCTCTTCTGCATGAGTCTGCCACTGTCTGAGGCCATGTTCTTGGGATCTTCTGAGTAGCAGAATGTGTCTCAGACTTTAATCTTTGTAGTACTCTAACACTGTATGCTTTATTGAGAAGGCCTGTGTCTACATGGTAAAATGAATATGACCAAAATAAAGACAACTCCCTTGTCAAAGACTGGAATAATTCATTTTATCTCTAGAGTCCTTGAATATGAGTTTCAAAATTCTCCTTCTGGTACTTTTCTCAGAGGTTTGGACTGTGCAAAAAAGACGTTAGGCAACAGACTGTAAGATTCCTATAACATCCTATGTCATAAACTTGAGTAATTAGGACATTCATTTGCTCTGCTGTTCTTTTTATGTGTCTGGCCTTGACCATGTAGATTAACGTTTAAAAACATTCCAAGATCCCTGAAACGGCAGACACAAGGCTACATCAGGATAACCATTGTCCCACATTTCTTTTTGAAAATACATTTTAATTTTAATTGATACATAGTAACTGCACATATTTATGGTATAGTGTGACATCAATATATGAACAATGTACATAACAATCAGATGAGGGTAACTGGTGTATCACATCAGACATAAATAATTCCTTTCTGTTGGACCATGACTATTCTGATATATTCAATTAACTTAATCAACTATAGTTATCCTGTAAAACATTAGATATTATTCCTTCATTCAAATGTACTGTAGACCTTTTAGCTTTCTTCTCTCCAGCTGGCTCTCCTTTTGAGGGTGCAGGGCTCAAACACTGGATAGGGTGGGCTCCAGGCAGGATGGCATTGCATATCATGCTGAGAGTTTGGCTGACTCCTGTGGGTAATCTCAGCAGTTCCTTACAATCTAGAGAACTGAATCAGGTCCTGACTGATCTCACTGACCGATCGGCAGCCTGAAAGAATCACACAATTAAAAGCTCATTTCTCAGCAGGTGAGATGGCTCAGCAGGTACAGGGGTTTGCATGGAGACCTGATGACCGGGTCCCACAAGGTCACAAGGTGGCAGAGAGAATGGACTCCCAAGAGCTGTCCTCTGATCTCCATACCTCGCTCCCCTCTCCTCCCCTCTCCTCCTCTCTCCCCTTCTCCCCCCCCCTCTTTCTCTCTCTCACTCCATGGGCATGGAATAATGCAGCAGAAATATGTCTTTGATCAATGAATGATCCCAGTACTACTTGTGTCGTGTTTTAATGCATCCAGATCAAAATTTTAGAGTGAAAACACAAACTCTGTAGTTTAACATTTCAAAAAATCCCCGCCAGTGTGCATTAACTATCCTTGGCCTGTCAGTTCTGACAGGGTGTGTGTGCATAGGCATTATGATGCAGGGAGGATGAGGCTCAAGGACAGAAACAGACGTGTGAGGATCCCAAAGAGCCAACACCTTTTAGGGGGAGGGTCTGGCAAAGGGAAGATCCTTGTTTGGCAGATCTTATTCAGTATATGAAATGAAGACTATAGCTGACCTTCCACACAGGGATGGAAAGAGGGACAAGGAAGAAGTGGAACTAGCATGGCAGTGTGGAGAGCTGTGAGCACAGACAGGCAGTGAGAGGTTCCTGGTGTGGTGACGGGAGAGGGCTGAAAGAGTTTCCTTAATCGGCTGTGTGGTATTGAACTGAAGAAGGTGCTGCCAGGAACAGAACATCAGCAAAATGTGTTACAGAAATGTAACTAATGAGAGGTTCATTTCCTAAAATTCAAAACGCAGCAAAATGTTGAATCTCACACCTGGGTGAATGGGGCTGTGATCTTTAGACAGCCTACAAATTGAACCAAATTTAACACTGGCCTTGAGGAAGGCTTCTCTTTTCCCGTCAGAGAACCGTGCTCGATCTCTGGCCAGGATGTGTATCTCCCGTTCTCTCTTCTGGGCAGCTACGAAGCCCAGCGAGTGTTAATCAGGGGGGAGGACTGCCTCTACTGCTCTCTAGGCCTTCCATCTTAAGCTCCAAATCAGTAGAAAACTTCAAAACACTTACCTGCAAGGGTCATAGTCGTGTGGAACTCAGTTTTTAAAATGTCCAAAATTTTCTCCACACCGTGTTCACCCTGCTCCCAAGACAAAAATGGAAGTGGGGGAGACAGAGCTTAGAAGACACATTTTGACCATCTGCTGGGTACAAATTGTGTCTATAGTGAGAACTGTTGTGGGGGAAGATGGAGGCATCTATGACAGAAGAATTATGTAGGAAATAAAAGAAAACAAAAGCAAAAAGGTAAGAATGGGGGTTCTTGGAACATCTTGGAACCCAATTCAGAAGGTGCAGGTGAGGTAAACTGCCTTCAGGCATTTGGGAAACGTTTATGTTTGGAAGATGGATTTCAGAGATTGACGGGAAAGAACGGAGCGCTCTGTATCTCCTTGCTCTGGCTGTGCCATTCTTACCTCGCAGGCAAGGCCCCAAAGGATTGGTCTCCCAAGAAAAACGCACTTAGCCCCAAGGGCCAACGCCTTCAACACATCGTTGCCAGTTCGAACCCCGCCATCCAGGTACACTTCAATTTTCCCTCTGACAGCGGCCACCACTTCTGCCAGCGCATCGATCTGTAAAAGAGATACACGTGTGGCTGCAAGTATTTCTGTTTTGACTCTCAGGAGTCATGGGATGTATGTCCTCTCGAAGGGGAATCAGGAAGTTCAAGCACAGGCCAGCTCCTTTACAAGTCCTTCTTCGCCAGTCCAGCTCTCCTCTGACTTTTAAAACCATCTACAGGTTGGAAGAAATGCTTGGCTCCTGTTTACATACTTGGGGATATTTCCCATTCATAGTGTTCACTTTAGTAGATTTAACAGATTAGAGAATCTGTTGCATGTTAATTTTCTTCTATTTCCTTTTTTTCTAAGATGGAATAGTTAGAAATGCTCCCTGCTGCTTAGGAACTAAGTCTTCTTAGCAGAATAAACATACACAGACACTCAGACACACACACAGAGCAACACACAGACACACACATATGCACATACACACAGACACACACAGATACACACAGACACACACAGACACATACAGACACACAGACACAGACATATACAGACAAATACACACAGACACATACACACACAGACATAGACACATACACACACAGACACACAGACATACAGAAACACACACACACACACACACACACACGATCTGAGTGTTTAGACATCATCCTGTCTTGAGAGACTGAGCTGCAACATCATTTCTTAAATCGCTGTGAGTGGCCAGCCAGTCTCTACTTTCCTCATGTCCTGTTAATTTTCCTTGTCTTTTTTATCTTGCCTTAGGAAGCAGCAGGCATGATTATGCTTTTCAATTCACCTGTTTAAAAACTATTTTAGCCAGATGTGGTGGCACATGCCTTTAGTCCCAGCACTTGGGAGGCAGAGGCAGAAGGATCTCTGTGAGTTCAAGGTTGACATAATGGGTTCCAGGTCAGCTGGTAATACAGGGAGACCCTGTCTCTTGGGCCTTAACAGGGATGACAGAGTACATGGGCTCCAGTGGGAGGGCCATGGGAGAGTGCTGCTGGGGACAGGAGTATAAAGATTATTAAGATTGTTTGAGATGTTCTGTATGAAATACACAAAAAAATCAATAAGAACAATTAAAAAAAAACAACAAAAAACGAAAAAAAAATCTCCCAAAGAACAAACTATTTTATTAACATGGCTTTCTTTAAGAGGTGACATGATTATATTGAAAGACTTTGTATAAATGGAGAATTTGGAAAGGGAGTGAGTGGGAAACTCACATCTATGGGAACAGTGACAAATTTCACATTATTGTCAATCCACCTTTTACTAAGAGACACAGTAAAGTGTCCCTCGTTTCCTATGAGGGCCTGCCATTCCTTCACCTGTTCTCCACTAGTGAGAGCCTGGTGGGGAGGGCTGAGTGCTGTGTGCCTGAAATCTCTCTGCGTTACACGTCTTGGAGTATTGGAAAGAGTGGCTTCAGAATTTCCACTTCTTGGAATTTATCTTAAAGAAGTAATTATAATTAAGGATGTGTTAAAGATTTTAACTTTAAGAATGATTACTGGGGGCTAGAGAGATGGCTCAGTAGTTAAGAACACTGACTATTCTTGCAGAGTACCTAGGTTCAGTTCCTAGCACCCACAGGACAGTTGACAACTGTCTATGACTCCAGTTGCAGGGATTCTGACACCCTCTTCTGGCTGCTGCAGGCACTGCACACACATAGTGCACATTCATTCATGCAGGTAAAATGCTCATACACATAAAATAAAAAATAAATGCATCTTTTTAAAAAGAAGGTATTGCTGGGCATGGTGGTGCATGCCTGTAGTCCCAGCACTTGGGAGGCAGAGGCAGGTGGATCTCTGTGAGTTCAAGGCCTGCCTGGTCTACACAGTGAGTTCCAGGCCAGCTGGGGCTACAGGGAGACTCTGTCTCAAAAAGACCAAAAAGAAAAAAAAAAAAGAAGGCATCAATGCATTGTTTAAAATAGTGGAAAAAATGGAAGGCAGACATGGTGGCACATGCCTGTATTTCTAGCACTGAAGAGATACAGAGAAGAAGATGGAAGATTCAAAGCTAGTGTGGGTTACATGGCGAGTCCCTGTCTCAATCAAACAACAAAGAAGAAAACCAAAGAAAGAAGCAATGAGTTAGTGGAATCGACACAGATATTTAACAATAAGGGATTGATTATATAAATTTCCCATTCATGACAAATCATTAAAAATAAGAGATATATGGGGCTGGAGAGATGGCTCAGTGGTTAAGGGCACTGACTGCTCTTGCAGAGGACCTGGGTTCGGTTCCCAGCACCCACATGGCGTCTATGCACTGTCCTTAACTCCAGTTCCAGGGGAATCTGAAGCCCTTTTCTGACCTCCATGGCATTGCACGACATGGGTGCACTCACATACATGCAGGCAATACACTCATATACATAAAATAAAAACAATAAAGAAAATATTTTAAAAAATAAGAGATATATATGGAAATAGATGTGTACTTAATATAAAAAGAAGAAAATTATAAAATATTATTAATATGTACAGTTTTTTAAACTGAAAAAGGTTTACTTGTATTGATAAGTACTAAAATATTAACAATAGTAATTGTGTTGAAATTAGAGATGATTTTTTGTTAAAATTGCTGGTACAGCCTTTCAGGAAAAGATAACATGCACAAAAACAAATTAACAGCTGATTTCCATTTAGATTCTTTCTCTCAAGTACTGGATATAGTGAACACAAATTCATGAGCTAGGGAAGAATATTACAAACTGTCATATATTTTAGTAAAAGATTCATTAGTGCATTTTAGTTCTATTTTTCAAGATTTATTTTTATTATTTTAAATTATGTATACGTGTTGTGGGGCCTGTGTACACATGAGTGCTGGTACTTGCAGACACCAGAAGTGTTGAATCCCCCGGAGCTGAACTTACAGGCAGTTGTGAGCTGCCCATTGTAAGTTCTAGGACCTGAACTCAGGTCATCTGCAAGAACAGTATGTGCTCTGTACCACTGAGCAGTCTCTCCAGTCTCCCACCCTATTTTGATAAATATTTACTAGCTTTGGCGAGGCTTCTTCCTGTGATGTGTCAGATGGAAAAGCATAGGATTACTCAGTTCTATTTGATCTGATCACAACTGACAGTAGGTGGGGCTCTCGTACAAGTTTAGTTAATATCTCTAAATTCCAGGATTCTTAACTGTAAAACAGGGATCTATATATCTTGCAGTATGGTTGCTAGGGTTAGATATGGTATACATAAAGTTTATAAAAATAGTCGCGTATATATTAGGTTATTTATTGGTAATGATTAACAAGCCTTAACATCCATAGGCAATACCTGTGGTAAGGGACAGTGGAATGTGCCAGAATGCACAAAGCTTCACTGTGCAGACACACACAGAGTACTCACACACACCCCTCTGAAGCCATCCTACTTACTGAAGCAGGAACTTCGTCAAGCTGCCTCCCACCATGGTTGGAAACAAAGATGCCTTGGACGTTATGCTTCATTGCTAACTCTGCATCTTCTTTAGTCAAAATTCCTTTAAGGATGATAGGCAATCTAGTTATGCTCTGAACCAAGGAGAGGTCATTCCAGGAGAATGACGGGTTGATGGAAGATGTCTGGACATACCGTGCAGAATTTCTCTGTAGAGAATGAAAAGCTGAGTCTTATTCCCAAGCTCTTACATCACTTGACTCACTCAAAAGGGGAGACACATTGGAGCCTGTCAGTTATAAGCTTGAAAAGAGTAATAACATACTCTTTCGCGTCACAAAATTTCTATAAAGAATTTTTATCACAATGACTTGTCTACCGACCATCAACCATGTCCTTGCTTGATAATTATGGTAGAACCTGGGGACATAATGACAGATAAGACAACCTTTTTCTTTTTTTAATTTTAAATTGCCTTTTGAAAACATTTAATTAATATTTTTTACAAATTAGGGGAAATATATTTTATTGATAACAAAAAAAAATCCTTACAGAGGTGAAAAGCACCAAAAACATAGCACCCTAACTGTTGAAGTCCAGAGCTACTTGTTTCAATCTCTAAGCTACACTGTGATTTAGGCTAATATTCAGCTTATTTTTCATTTACAAGAGAATATTTCTAATGTCTAATGGGAAAATGTCTCCAGTGTTCTGACATAGCATCATCTTTGGCTTCCCAGTTACTGAGCATTCTACCAAAGGCAAACAGGCCACTCTGCCTCCAGGTCCTATATAATAAAAGCCAGCTCTAGCCAATTCTAGAGGTAACAGAAACCTTAATGGCCACATACTGTAAGTATTCATTGCATAGCTGTAGGGATTAGTTCTTGTTGGAGAGTCTTCCACTGCTTTGAATTTAGAGGGTTTGATGGAAGGCAGGAGGAAGAACCACTGAATGAGCCTCTGTACTCCAAAGCAGGACATAATGAATGTACAAAACCACTTCTTAACAGAGAGGTGCTCTCAGAAGTGGAGTGCAGACCAGCTGAAATCAGATTCTGAAAAACGCTGCAACTACGATATGGCTGCCTGTGCTTTTCAACAACTGTCTCTGTGCTTCCATCTATCCAGCATTAGGTTGCAGCAGAAGCATTTGAGTTTATCATTCATACCCATGTATTAAAAACCAGTGCAAGTGAGACTCTTCTGAGACAGGAACACCAGCAGGGAAAGCTGAGTTTCTGGACACTGTGTAGGGTTCTCATGTAAGCGAATCCATGCTTCATTCTTTCTTTGCTCTCTTTTGTCCCAGTTTGGCAAGACTGTGTTATCTTCCACTCTGCTTTTAGTTTTTTGATGCAGGGTACCTTGGACCACTCTTTAGGAGGCAGTTTTATGCGTGAGTGGGTGATGGTATTTTTGACTGCATAAGCCTTCACATGAAATTTCTCACCTCTTTACACTAAACAAGATCTTTACCACATGGAGGAATAAATTGGTAGGCTCCTATTTAGGTAGACTTCTCTAGATTCTCACTGGATTTATAATTGAGTCCCTACTCAGGCAGAATGATTCGCGCTCCTAAATCACCAAGATTCTGTTTAGTAGTCTTTGGGATTACATTAACTCTTTTAGACAACACAAAATATATTTTCTCATAATTTGGCATAACCTAAAGACTCCCAAAACTTTATGCACTTTTGAAAATATTAAAATTTCTTGCAGTTTTCAAAAAGTTTTATATTCTCCCAATGCTAAGAAATCATAGAATCCCTCAATTATGCATCTCAGCAGACCACCAGGAGTGCTGAGCTCTGGCTTCCTTCTGGCCGCGGACTGCCTGAGAGACCCCGGATCCTGCCCCCATGTGGTGGTGAGCTTCCCCTAATTGAGCCATACCCTTCTCCCTACCTGGGATTTCATGAGGCCCTTCCCAAGGCCCCAGGGAAGACTGGCCTTGGTAGGCTAAGACTGAGATCCTAGCAGACAGCCTGAGAGGGTGGGTTTCAACCCCCATTAGTACAATGGCTCTGATCTCAGCAGACTGCCAGAGTGCCAGAGTTCTGGCCTCCCTCTGGTCTCCCTCTGGCATAGGGGCTGAGAATGCAGGGGACTGCCTGAGAGCACATGGATCCTATCTCCACGTGGTGAAGGAAGCTTGAGTGTACCTGACTGGAACCTGAATTGGGCTTTTGTGGGTATTCCAGAAGAGCTGATCTGAAGCCATCAGTTCCCTCCAAATTAAACCTGAGAGAACCTGAACCCTGTACCAACCAGCTTTACATAACCAATAAAGAAAGGATCTAGGCACCCCGATAATACAAACAGCAGCATACATCAACTTAATTCTCATATCAGAATCATAAACAACAAAAGAAATTCACATGCCAAAATCACAGTGAAAGAATAATAAAATGGAAAGCCAAAATACTATGTCCCCACCAAACTCCACCAATCCCGTAGAAGAGTTCTACAAGGAGAAACCCCTAGAGATCATCCAGGACACCAAATTAAAAAAAAAAAGTCATAAGCATGATTAAGGAATTCAACAACTTTAAAGAACACATGAACAAACAAATCAAAGAACTAAACAAAGATAGGGATAAACTTCTGAATGAATTCACAAAAGAGAAACATTGAAGAAAACTCAGGCAAAAATAAAGAAGGAAATGCAAAACTCAATAAGCAAAGTTGAAACAACAGGGGAAACCCTCACCACTAGAATGAATGAAATGGAAAACAGAATATAAACACTGGAGGATAAAGTTGAATAATTGAACCACTCAAGCAAAGATTACAGAAAATTAAAAAAAAAAAAACCACACACAGGAATGTAATATGCAAGAGATGTGGAACACCATTAAAAGACCAAATCTATGGATCATAGGAATAGAAGAAAGGTAAAGAAATTCAGGTTAATAGTGTTGATGAGATCTTAAACAGGACTGTAGAAGAGAATTTCCCCAAATTAAGGAAAGACATCCCCATGCAAATATAGGAAGCACACAGAACACCAAATCAGAAAAGAAAAACTCCCCACAACATTTCATAGTAAAAACACTAAATGTACAGAACAAAGAGAGAATACTGAAAGCAGCAAAAGTAAAACAACAAGTCACATACAAAGGAAAGCACATCAGAATTATGGCTGACTTATCAGTGCAAACTATGAAAGCCAGAAGAACCTGGACCAAGGTATTTCCAGTTCTATATAACAATAGATGCCAGCCCAGAACACTTTACCCAGCAAAAATGTTTATTATAGTTGAAGGGGAAAGAAAAATCTTCCATGACATGAATAGCCTGAAAAAATACATGTCCACATAATCAGCCCTTCAAAGAATACTTGAACCAATACAGAGAGCAGAGAGAGAAACAGCTATACTTTGGGGGCAATGAAAGAAAATAAACAAAGATATAATCTAGGAAACACAAAATTAGACAGAGAACACAAACAGCAATCAAAATGATGGCAAACAAAACATATCTTTCAATAATAACTTTAAATATCAGCGGACTGAACTCCCCAATCAAAAGACACAGGCTAAGTGAATGGATTAAGAAACAAAATCCATCCCTTTGCTGTCTGCAAGAAACCCATCTCACCTTCAAGGACAGGCACTACCTTACAGTAAAAGGATGGAAAATAATATTCCAAGTAAATGGCATTAAGAAACAAGCAGGGGTTGCAATTCTAATATCTGACAAAATAGACTTCAAAGTAAAACTAATCAGAAGAGATAAGGAGGGTCACTTCATTCTAATCAAAGGAACAGTTAACCAAGAAGCTATTACAATCCTTAACATATATACACTAAACTCTGGTGCACCCAAATTCATAAAAACAACACTATAGGACTTTAAGACACAGATTAACCCCAACACAGTAATATTAGGGGACTTCAATACCCCACTGACCCCATTAGACAGGTCAACTGGACAAAGAATAAACAGAGCTGTCTGAATTAAATGATACCATACATCAAATGGACCTCACAGACCTCTTTCAAATATTCCACCCAAGCACCAAAGAATATACTTTCTACTCAGCACCCCATGGAACTTTTTCAAAAATTGACTACATACTGGGCCACAAAACAAAACTCAACAAATACAAAAAATTGAAATAATTCCATGCATTCTATCAGACCATAATGCAATAGAGCTCAAAATCAACACTGAACAAAGCCCTAGTCACTACATGAACTCATGGCGATTGAACAACATGCTCCTAAACAACGAATGGGTCAAAAGAGAAATTAAGAAAGAAATAAAAGAATTCCTGGAATTCAATGAAAAGGACAATACAATACTACCTCTGGGACACTTTAAAAGCAGTCCTAAGAGGGAAGTTTAAAGCCCAAATAAATGACCTAACACTGCAACTCAAGACACTGGAAAGGTAAGAACAAATGAAACCCAAACCCAGGAGAAGAGAAGAAATAACAAAAAATCAGAGCAGAAATTAATGAAATAGAAACAAAGAAAACAATACATAGAATCAATGAACCTAAGAGCTGGTTCTTTGAAAAGCTAAACAAGATTGATGGACCCTTAGCCCAGTTAACCAAAAGAAAGAAAGAGTAAATTCAAATCAACAAAATCAGAGATGAAAGGGGAAACATCACAAAAGACACCCAAAAGATCCAGACCATTATAAAGGAATATTTTAAAAAACCTATACGCTACTAAATCTGAAAGTCTAAAAGAAATGGATGGATATCTGAAATCATGGGAACCTCCAAAGTTAAACCAAGAAGAGATCAACAGTTTAAACAGTCCCATAACATATAAGGAAACTGAAACAGTAATACGAAGCCTCCTAACTAAAAAAAGCCCAGGCCCAGATGGATTTACAGCAGAATTTTACCAGAGATTTAAAGAAGACCTCCAACCACTACTACTTAAATTACTTAAAATGATAGAAATAGAGGGAGAACTCCCAAATTCCTTCTATGAAGTCAGCATCACTCTAATACCCAAACTGGGTAAAGACATAACAAAAAAGAAACTATAGGTCCATATCCTTAATGAACATAGATTCAAAAATGCTCAACAAAATACTTGCAAACTGTATACAGACACATATTAAAAAAATCATTCACCATGATCAAGTAGGCTTTATCCCAGAGATGCTGGGATGGTTCAATACACGCAAGTCAATAAACATCATTAATCATATAAATGGACTCAAACACAAAAAACACAT